AATGCTTTTAGCATGCCAGAACACTTACTATTTCAATAATGACTTCTCCAGAACTCTTTTTTCTCTTAATTACTATGAATGTAATGTTTCCAAACAACATTCTTGATTGTTAGACTCAAACTGCGTTGCTGTGATAACCCTCTAAGAACCCCATCTCCTCCTGAGTTACTGTTATCCTTACATTAGCTGGGAGATTTTGAGAAGAAACGGACACTCAGCAGAATTTTGTTGAAATGAATCATTATTCACCAGGGCAAATCCAAAGGTAGCATCCCCTCTGGACAACCAATGGTTCATAGGTTTTCACCCATGATTGAAGACAGCAACATTGCCAGGATACGTAGCTCTGTTCTGACTATAAACGGTGATATTGGTGATATCTGCTTGAATCAAATTGTTCCTTCTCTGCATTTGTTCACAGGTAGGCCAACAACAGTCACAGCTGTGAAAAGTGAATTGTAGTTTGTGTCTTCTGTACAGAAAGTGTTTAAATATTTAATCTCTGACATATGGCTCTAGAAGAGGCAGCTCTAAGATCTCCTGCGGCACTGTATAGACTCTGACACCTCAGTGCTGAACAGAACACGTGCTTTCCCAAGCTATAAAGAATTACTATTTCTATGACCTTCGGACACTTCAGGACTAAAATGCTGGAGCCATTACCCTGTTATCCAGCAACACACACTGTATGTAGATGAACAGTTCTACCTCCTTGGCCTTGGACACCCTCTGACAAGATCAAAAGAGCTAAAAATAGTGCAAAGGAGCACTTCAAGCTGAAGGAGGAAATGATTCATGAAATGACAACAAAAGATACCACTTGCAGGCACTGAGTTCTGAGAAACTGGCAAGTTACTCTGTCTTTTTATGTGCATCTATAGTATATATATTAGCATTTTAACATATTACTGTTGGAATTGGATGCAGAACTAGAGATCTCTCCTGGGTACTGTATCAAGCGATAGGAGTTTGGACCTCCCAGATCCTTTCAGGCAGTTTTGAGCAGCAAAAAGTCCCCATCTGGGCACTATTTTCAGACTAAGACTCTAAAATTTCAGCCATAGCATGCAGTGCGTGAGACGGTTGTCACGAAAAACATTGTGTTATAAACTACTACTCTAAAAGCACCAGAGATTGGGCCAGGAATCCAAGCCCCAAGTGGTATCAAATGACTTATTGTGCTATTCTCTTCCACCAAAGAAATTACATCTTGCAAGAAAAACCAAAACAGATATCTGAAATTAAACAAATTCTGTCTGGCAAATAAGAAGATGCTAAACGAGCAAAGAGGCTATGAAGAAAGATGGGTCAGGTTTATCCTTTTACATTGAGATGTGGCTTCCCTCCTTGATGAGCCTGAAAAATACTGCTGTAATCATCACAGCAACGTTTTTTGCTTTCTCAGTAATTATGCCACTGTATCATTGAAGCTCCTGAAATTGATGTAAACACAACTCCATAAAACATAAGAACCCACAGGTGGAAGTTAAAGTAGTAAAAATCGGCCAAGAAATAAAGCACCATTTTTCTTCTTTATCAGAATAATTGACAACGACTGAGGTAAATCCTCTCTCACTGGCTCTTTTGTTGTGATGTGCTGCCAGAAGATAAAGGCACAGATTCAGGGAAGCCCTACAGCCTGAAGTAAGAGGGGGACAGCCTAGCTGACTGCAATGATACTCTGACTTCATTTGCTACCAGTAGGTTAAGTACCTGGAAAAACAGTCTAAGTCAAATACCTTACTTTGCAAAAGCTAAATATTTGAAAGTTACCATAGCACCTCAATATTCCCAAGATGTAACCCAAGAGGACAGGAGAGGAACTTCTGAAATACAGCCTCCAAATGCCATCACCACAATGCACAATGCACACCACTCAACCCTGGCAGGAAGCTGACAGCCACCTTCTTTGGGAGCAGAAGATAACAAATTTCAGGAACAAAATGTCTCTCCCTCAAGCCAGTGGTGCCACACAGAAATTGTTGGCTCTTGATCGGATCTAATAGTAAGCACAGAAATATGAACTGATCATCACTGAAGAGCAAGCAGCTCTTGCAGAGGATGTATGAACAAACAGAGCTTTAAGACCAGACAAAACAAGTGCAGGGAGGACCACAGCAGCTCATCCAAGCACTTGATGCACATGCTGGGAAGGACACAATGTTGAGAAATTCAAGCCTGATAAATTTCCCACCACTGAACCAGGCAGTGGAAGGCTGCAGAAAGAAAATATTGCCGTCCTTCTCAAGATGCTATTACACAAAGTATAACCATGCATCTAGAGTATTTCACCATCACCTTACATTTCGCTGTAGCATTGATACCTGTGTGCAAGGTACCACCATTCCAGGCTCAGCAGAACACAGTATAGCCCTGGAGAAACTGCTCTCCAGCTGGTGTGCTTCTCACAGACACCTGACCTACAAAGGCTGACTCAATGGATACAGGGCAGCTCCTAACTTTCTCAGCTTGTCAACCAAACACACAGATTTCCCTCTCCAAAATCCATGGTTTTCCCAGTCAAGTTTCCCCCTTCCTCCCATTTACATACACAAATTGACCCAAGTTTCCAGCTAAGTCGTCCTGCCATTACCAGGATGCAGCAGTACACTGTGACTGCACAAGGAGATCCATGGCAGGAATCTCCTGCACTAGCAATGGGAAGACCTTCCCTGGAGCATTTAGAGGCCATTCAGGGTGCTTGAAATTCCAAAGGCATAGACTTCCACCTGCTGTAATGGTAACCTTATCTTGTGCAAGACAATGGGTCACCAGGAAAAAAAACCACCTTGGTCCTCAGCAGAGTACAGACTAATGGGTTGGGACTAGTACACCATAAAAACGATCAGCACGCACATCTCAATCCTAGCAAACCAATATGTACAGCGCCTGTAAAGTCTCCTCTGAGAGCATCAGTTATACCATGCAACTGATTTACATTTTTCAAGGCAATAATTGAAGCTGTTCAGCTTGTTCCAAAGGCCCAATGGGAAGGAGAAAACCCTCCAGACACTTATGTGGCAGCTTCGCAGCAGCATGAGACTAAACAAATGGAAAAACCTAGAATAGGTTGCGACAGTTTATCATTAATCAGTATGAATTACTTGGCAGGATGCAGTATCTTTCAGTGCAACTTAGTGGCACCTTTCCCAAAGAACTAATACAAACACGAGCACACAGCCAGGGATTTGGGGAGCAGGGGAAAAGGGATGTCATCGCTGATTAAGTTGCTGATGGCAAGAAACAAAAAATGAGACTACATAGGGCAGCACCTGTGTGGCTGAACGACATGACTGGCATGTTCCAGCTACTTCATTTGGCAAGGCTAAATTCACCACGGACAAATCATAATCGTCCTACAAAACACTGAAGTCTTCTGAATTGCCTCCTTGCAGTCAGACATCACTTCTCCACTAGCTCTGTTTATTCCAGCATTTTCTCAGGACAGGGAGAATACTCTAAACCCTTCTTCTATTCATAAAAGAACATTACTGTTGAACATAGGAAGGTACGAAGATACAAGAGAGAGGCATTATCTTTATTTAGAGCCAGATATAAATGGAAAACTGCAGACAAACTTCCAGGCTCAGGCAACCCCTATCAAGCCTACAAAGAAGCCCTTGTGCTGGCAGGTCCTGGCAATGGATCCAAGTACCTGAACTATTCAATTTTTCCAACTACATGAAATGGTCTAATACAAAAGATAATTTATGTATATGGATTTGGTGATCCAAACATCGTAATCATCACACCTTTAGTGAACTCTGGTTTGGGCTCTTGAATAGCTAGCAAATAAATTTTGCTTTGACCCCCAGAATTGTTTTTCAGAGCAGACTTCTTTCCTGTATTTGTACATGGATATACCTGTAATGCCCTAGATCCCTGCTATGATTGCCTGTTGCATAAGGTAGCTTTGCATTTACATTGTCAGTACATACTTAGGTCATTTACTCATTTCATGCATACCTGAAAGGAAGAGACAAGCTCTAGTACATTTCAGACCATTTCCTTCACTATTAGACTTGAACAGAAAAGGTAGAAGGTTCAGCAAATGACCAAAGACAGGCAGGGAAGGTAGCTACAATGACTAAGAAGCACCAGACCAAAATAAATTAGACCAGTCCCAACCTTCCTGGAATCACCCTCAGTATTCCTTTTGTCCAAGTACAAAGATAACACATACAATGTTCTTCAAATGCTCAAGAAAAGTTCATAAACCATGTTTGGAAAATAGTTTGTGGCAGTTCTGTCATGCTTACATTTGAAAGCCAATGTTAAAACTGCTAAATATATCTTACATCTCCCAGCAACTACAGCAAAGGAGCAAGAACTTTCCTTGCATACTGCTGTTAAAAGATAAACCTGCAAATTTAAAATAAAAATTTATGCAGATGCCTGAAAGGACTGAGTTTGATCAGTGAAAAAGAAACCCACAGAAAGGGATCCTAGTGAAATTCTCAGACATAAAAATGAAAAATTGTCCCACATTTGCATTGCTCCGATCATTTCACACATTCTTCATTCATGTAAAGAAGGGTATTACCACAAAATCTGGAGCTGTGACAAGATAAGCCTTCCATGGACTGAGGATGCACAAATTAGAGAGAGTTCACCATTACTAAAGCTTTCTGAACAGCACTTGTCAAATACATGAGCAATTGCAAACACCCACACAGAGAAATCCAATGGCATAACATGAAGACAGCTAAATAACAGCTATCACCTCACCTCTGCCAACCGTGCTTTGAATCAGCCTTGTTGTCAGACTTCTCCATAGAGTAAAAAGGCCATTCCATGCAGAATGTGAGGTTTCAACACTTTAGGTATCACTTTTTCCAAACATTGTAATGGATAAAGTGTTCTAATCTACAGCAGCATAAACTGCAATTTAACTAATCTGATCTGTAGGAAACTCTCTATTCTCTGTCTCAGGCCTTAAGTTCAGTGAAGAAAACAGTAAAACTCTTTCTGCTAATCACAGAAACAGATACTGAGCTGACCTTCCATTGCTCCTTGGGAAGCAGTTTCACTATCACGATGTCACCGTTCAGGGCTCTGTTGCGAGCGACCACTCCATCAATGAAGATATCACGAGAACCATCCTATCAAAAAGGAAGAAAAATAAATGCAAGACCAAAACATATTAAAATACAGTTTTTGTGAGGTTTAAAACACTGTCAAAGACGACACAAACCCTAGTGAGACAAGCATCCTGCAGTCGTGCACAGAAATGAAATGGATTCACCATGCAACATCTTTCAGCAAATAACCTCCCTTCTACAGATTCTCCTGCACAGTAGTTCCATGCTTTTTATCCAGGACAGAGCCAAGCCCTCAAGATGTATTGTCTGCAAGCTCTGCTCAGTTATTCTTGGGAATGGGTAGTTTTCTGCAGGCACAGCTCTTCACACATTAAGTTGCCAACTCAAGCACTCAAAGCTATTGTTCAGAACACGCTTACAAGAGAGTCTGTGTGAAGTGCCCCGGTGCAGAGCTGCCTGCTGCTCTCCTGGTGAGGTGAAACACAGGGGGACACAGCTCTGGGACCAGCAGGTCAGACTGTGAAGGTGGCCTGGAGAGTGGCTGAGGATGAAATCTCTGTATTTTTTTTTTAAATGCGTTAACACCATATATTCTGGATTTGGCAAACTTATGTCAGAAGAGATTCCAGAAAATTATGATTACGTATGCCAACTGCAAGCCAGAAGATCTTGTACTATAAGAGACATGTTAGGACACCTTCTCTCAATATGCTGGGTTAACATCCTTGCTCAAGAGCCTCTACTAATTGTACACACCATGATTATCCACCTCAGACATGTTTGGCATTTGGCTAATCTGGATTTAGTTTGGAAGATTTCCTTCATGGGGTGAATAAAGACAAAGTTTCCTGAAGATGCCTACACAAAGGTTTTAGATTTTAAAGGACTGCCATTTTTTTTTTCTTATCTAATTATGGACAGTGCTCTGGCTGCTTTCATTTCTGCTTCCCCATAATTCAGTATATGAAAAATTCCATGTGCCCATTTACAATGCCATGAACACGTCAAACAATGTGACCATTTCATATCAACAAGAGCAACCTATCTTTGCATAGTTCTGAGGTACATAAGAGGATGAGTTTTCTTTAGTACTTCCTTGTCTTTCAATACAAAAAACAGCCCCACGAGAATTAAAATCTTAATGGCAATTTTAGTTGTTTCTCAGATACATGTTCCTGAGTCTCGTATGCCTGAGTAAATCCAATCAGAACTACCAGTGTGCTCAGCCTCCAAGAAAAACTACTTTTATAACCTGAAAACATGAAGTCCTAATATCACATAAATATCTTACTCTGCTTAGATACCAAAACAATAAAACGGCAGAACCCTGCCATGATGTGAAACTAAGGCTGTCCTCCAAGAGACCAAATTACTCTTAGAAAAGCAGCAGCAGCTCAACAGCTGTGTGGAAGCTGCCTCCCATGACAAGATGCAGAAAAATTGCAAAGCCTCTTGGACCAACATAATTCAAATTGGAAACTGTTCTTTTCAAAAAGCCAGATTTTTTACACATGGTCTTATTCCTCACTTCTCTCTACCCTCTCTCTCCTGCCCCAACTCTTTACCTAAATACACCACATATCTAAAAAGAAAAGTTCAAAGTCACTGTTTAAGGAAAGTACCTACTTCATTTTTGGCTGTACCTAGCACTGCTCTGTGCTGCAGGACACAGGCTGGCATTCACAATAATTTTGTTGGTTCTATACCTTTTTTTCCTTCCCTCCTGTCCAAGAAAACACAAGGCAGACCCTTTCCCCCATCCCTGGTAAAGGTGTGTGATGTATCTCACCACCTAATTAGCTGCATCTCCACAGTCCACAGAGTCTTGTCTTGAATTGGTGCCAGTCACCCTCATTCCAAACAATATATACACTAATATATGTGTATGCACACGTATTTTAGAGCAAACAACTTCACTGCCTACAACCAAACTAATTAGGAAACTGCCATCAGTTTTGGGTTTGCCTCCAAAAACAAATATTTCTATATCTTGAGCTTCATGCTCATGATTGTTGGGCAAACTTACGCACATCCAAGAACACTTGTGCATTCCCCTTTTTCCCTTACTCTGCACAGCTGGCATTTCAGATTACTAATGCAATTAAAATGGCACCAAATTACAAGAGAACGCAACCACTCGCAAAGCTTCAGCTGCCCACAGGGTGCATACACTGTATTGGCCTCAACGGCTTCAAGTTTTCTGCAGCCACATCCAGGGAGTGTGGGGCTTTTTCTGCTCCACGGCCACCTGAGCATGTCACCAGCAGTGCTCTCAATCCCCCTCTGGGAAGAGGAAGATCTGCAGCATTTTAACTTGCGCTGGAAGTGTCTTCCACAAGCACAGTACAGCCACAGTCACTCCATCACTCATGCTCAGCAGTATCATTCTTCACACTGACAATGCCACCATTTCAAACCACACTACTGTGTGCAGGGAAGACAAGAGACGCGAGAGAGATTTCAATGCTCAGGTCCATTCTCTGAGTAGCTTCCAAGAGAAAGACCCTGGGCCTTCCTCCCAACTCTTCATCCAACAATGAGGCAAGCAGACAGCGCATTTGCAGCAAGAAACTCCCTGGGACTTCTGATGTTAGAAGGTGAACAGCTGTTGCATTTGAACTCCATGAAGCCATAGCCAAGTTGGAGCTGAAGAGAAAGGGGTGCAATGCCCCAGTCAACAGCAGGAGAAAATGGGTGATTTTTTACAGCTGCAGCTCTTGCAGCATCTGGCAACGATAGGAAGTCCTGCAGAATCCAAAGGCTGCAAACCCTCCATTATGGCAAATAAAGTTATTCAAAGGATAAGGTTCCTAAAGCATCTGTCTTAAAAGTGAGGACTGTGTTGACACCAAACACAGTCATCTTCATCCAGGCATTAATTCTGCTTGATATCAGGGACAAGGCTGATTCTGGTATTCAGCTCCACAAAGGGCAAAAAAGTAGAAAGACAGCTGAGACAGCAACCTCATCTAACCCTCTTTAATGTATGTACTGCATGCACAACTGTGAGCAATGGCCTGCACAAGGCAACAGCTGAACCCAGGGAGCAATGGCGGGTAAAGCTTCACACGCAACTGAACTCACAGGAGTAGCTGAATTTGTCAGCTAACCTTGTATTTTGTAATTTCAGACAATATTGTTTAACAGCTTACACTTAGCACACCTACAAGGACACTTGTAAAGGGAGGATCACAATTTCCTTCACTTACACACGCAGTGCTGCACCACTGACGTACCCAGAGCTGCTCTGTGCTTCTTCTCCTAGTTAATCCTCATCTACTTTGTGCACCCCGACCTTCCTCCACGCCTGTAATTCTCACTGTCTCTAACAGAGTAGGCTCCAAAACATTACCCCAATTCAACAACATGAAATGACAACCCACAAGTTTCAAGGCTTTCAATCCGAGCCCCAAAACAATAGTACTGTCAGTAGCAGGGACAACAGAGTCAGTGTTGCACTGTCTTACAGCAGGCTCTGCCTTCTCTCCCCCAACACCAACAAAACTCTTCAATATGAAACTCTCTCTCATTGATGGCAACATTTTGACCAAGTCAGTTCCAGATAAAAAGCCTTAGCTGTGCCAGCCATGATGTCACCTTCCCTACTGGAAGTCCCTGAAATTGCAAGAGCCCTTCTTTTCCGTAAAAATAAGGAAAGAGAGAATTGGCACAAGCCAGTCCCATGTGACAGAATCGCATCCCTAGCCAGCCAAGATACAGTCTGTGCAAAAGCGGGCACATGAAAAGGAATCACGCATATTATTTCTGGAATGATTTTTCAAATTAGCTCATGCAGCAGATCGAAAATGGAGAGCATATTTGTTTAGGGAAGATTAACTTAAATCAGTGGAAAATCTATAAAACCTCCGCAGCCATAAACCAAGGGTTTCCGATTGCACTATCTGGTGGTCCTCAAACCTGACTTCAGCTGGCTTCTGTGGGATCCAGCAGTACCCCCAACTTCAGCACAAGCTAAGCAAGTAGGTTCTTTGAGGTATGAAAAAGCAGATTTGTTTGGAAATATTTGATTTAAAAGGAAATCCAGATCACGTTCATTTACTCCAACTCATTCACCTCCGAGTGACCTTTCCAGCACAGCATAACTCCTATCTTAATAGACCTTTACTTATGAACTTTAAAACATTATAAAATTACACTTACTGGAGATGGAATGAAGGCTTCATGGTACTTCTTAGGATTTATTCTCAAGGGTCCCTTAAAAAGAAGAGAAGGAGAAAGATTATGCCTGAATCTTATTAATTTTATATAACATCAGTTAAATTAGAGAGCTGTGAGTAATATATCTACTGTGAAACATGAGAGATACATCTAAAGTTCCATTATACATTTCAAGTCTTGACAACTTAGCATCTGAGCAACTTCAAACCAAAAGGCAGTTTCATGATAGGCTTAAGCTGAGCTACTCCAGTCTGTCATCACAGAAGAGATGTTGAATCCTTAGTAGTTGCTGCTACTGGGTGAACTGAGGAACCAAGCCCTCCTACTCCCTTCACACATTTTCTGCCAAGTATCCACCAACTTTGTTTACAAACAAACAATAGAAGCAATTTTTTTTTCCCCCCTCTGTTTTGGAAAAGCAGAATGCTGTTTTTGCTTATTTTAGTGTATGGGAGGAAAGAGGAAAAGCTGACCTGCTGAGTTTGCATGGCAGCAGGTATCAGCCTTATGGGGTTCTGGCTGCTTAGGCTGTTCCTGCAACAGACAGTAGCAATAATTCTGTGACAAAGAACATTTCCAAAAAAGAATCAAAAGGATTTTCCAAACACAAACATTTAAAGTCTACAGGATTAAATTCTGTTTAAACACACTGAAAGTCAAACTATCTTAAATCCATTTGAAACTCCACGGTCTATCTATTTCTGCTGTGTTATCTGCCAACTCAAAGCTTAAGTCACCTGCAACAAATCCATATCACCCCTCCAAAGTAAACCAAGCAGTTTTGCTGCTTGTGCTCACATCTATCCAAGAGAAATGGAGAGCCAACCAAGGAATTACAGGCTATGCAACAGTGCCATTCCCACCCCAAGAGGGTCCTGGGAATTGTGATTCAGGTGACTGCAGTTACAAGTGACAGCTTTTGATTCCTCTGGAAATACAACTAGGTATCTGTCTTCAGGCAGGCTTCTGCTTTGGGCTGAAACTTTAAAACTTTCTCCACTTGTGTATTTGAAATAATGTTGGCCAATTTGTTATACGAACAGGTTCCATCTGTTTGCACTTCTGTGTTAAGCAATCATAGGAACCTCTCACAGGAATTGCTTCCTTAAAAATTTACTGCAGCATATAATTTTATGTATTCTGGGAAATACTCAGACAATAGGAAAATAAAGCTTATTACATGTGAAAGTTTTTCTGCCTTGAAGAAGAACTTGCAGATTTATGAAGATTTTCTATTGTTTTTATTTGCTTACATTTGGAAATACCAGCACCATACACTCCATATTCTATATTGGGCATTATTTGAATGCTTCACTGCAATGTCTGTTTTGTGCCTTATGTAACTAGCATTGACAAGCACACTAGCCACATGGCAGGCGACCCAGGACAACAGCACGAAAATCAGGATGACCCACTGGGAGCACCTCTGGGGATACTTGACGCTTAGGGAACATGAGAGCGATCTCACTGTCGTCTGCCTCTGCTAGCACCAGTACTCACTGATGCAAAACTCTTAATAGTCATTTTTTCTTCCTTAATTGCCCAGAATCTGCCACCAAATCAATGGGCTGTTAGTAAAAGAAGCCACTATTAAGAAAAAGGAAAAAATGAAAAGGGATGGTTGCTCTGCCTGACCACAATTCCCATACCAACATCTACCCACCAGCACAAAGCAGATGAGGGGATATCCTGTGTTACTCTGCCGAACCCCCTTGAATAGTTTGGGACAGCTGTCAATCAGCCAGGTGCAAATGCCCATTACACATGTGAAAAATCAGGTTGGGTCCACAGCCCAGAAGGCACCAGGGCAGCTACGTGCACATGGATGCCCAGCTCCAGCACACGGAGAGAAGCAGCGCTACGATGTTTACTACACAACAGGTTTCTCTGCATTCTATATGCACTACCTAATTATGGTCAGCAATAGAATTCTTACGTCAAGTAGCATTAAAATACTTCAGCGCTTTCTTTTAAGCAAGGAACTCCCAAAATTTATCCTTAGAAAGCAGATGGGCCCTATTATCTGTGCCTATGAAAATCCTATTTACAATGTTGTACATTTCACGCTGTGATATCATATCTGGAACCAGTCACTCTTCCCATCTGCAATGAACAACTGTTCTCATATGTGTATTAGGGAGTGAGGATCTGGCTGCAGAGTCTCATGATGTCACACTAATGTATTATTTTACAATAACTTGTGAATAATAGCTGCTATATTTATCAGCGGCTTTATGTCAGGAGGGCCTTTGTTTTGAAAGGGAAGAGAAAGGTTTGCAGGAAGGTTTCTAAAACTCTCTGATGATTCAAGTCAGCTTCACACATACTTGCCAAAAAAGTTCCTAAACTTATTGAGCTTTCCTAGTAAGACACAAAAGGGTCATACTTTCTCAGGTTGCTCTGGTAGGACCAGGGCAGGCAATACTCAGACTAAACTTCAAGCATCTCAAATCAAGCAGTTTGTAACAGCTATTACCACGCATAGGTCTAGATTCATCTTTATGTATGAAACACCAAAAAAAGGTCAGGGTTCGAGTATCTGCTTGCTACCAAGGCCACCTTTGAAGAAATAAACCATGAAAATCTGGGAAACCTCAGCCTTCATAGCCACAAAAGAACAGCTTTCCATGGAAAAACACCCTCTTAAAAGGGTATGCTGCACACTCACTCCACCTGACCCCAGCAGCCCTGCAGGGAGGGTCTGGGAGACGGTGGAGGCGTGGAGCAGACATGAGTTCCTGGCTGGTGCTTCACAGGATGATTACGGTCCTTTGGGTCAATAGTCCTTAATACATAACCTGACCATCTGTTGTGTGTAGCCAACACCATCCGCTTACGTAACTGCGCAGAAGTTACTCAGTCCTGTTTGCCTTCAGACTGGGGTGATCCCAACCGACTCGATGCTCTTGGTGTTTGCTCACTGCAGACAATGTTGTGGGTGGGGAGGTGGGAAGTCTGCACGCTCTGAAGCGCCTGAGCTCAGATGCCCTTTGTGTGGAAGGACATTTCCACACATGTCACATGATTAAAGGCATCAAGGAATCCTGCAGGGCACCCCTCTCTGTGTTACTTATCAAAACCTGAGTTATGTCAGATACAGTACCAGAAGCCATTAAGACTTGTATTATTGACAGACGTCAGCACCTGTAAAGATAAGACTTTTGTTCTTCCTGACCTAAGACTGCTTAATCTTCATGGCACTGGTGTTTTATCTGAGCAATCTCCACGTTGGCCAGTAGTTTCCATGGGTTGGGCTTTTGGAAGCATTTAGTTGCGTAGCTCCATTGCCAGAGTCCAGCAACACCCTCCGAGTTCACAACAGGGTCTTTTCTCTCTAACAGATCTCTCAAGTTCTCACACAAACACATGCAGAGCCAGTGTTTCCAGGATGCTCCAGAGGATGGCCCCTGCTCAGACTATCATGCTTCTGTCTGGCTAGCACTCAGGTTTGCTCAGGACCATCAGTTTCAGACCAAGAGGGTTTTTTTTTTTCCACCTTTTCCACAGGCTCTTGTGGAGCATTTTTGCAAGTTACCATGCTAGACCAGTGCTCTGCTTTGGGAGATGAACACAACAGTTCACGATCTCTTGGTATTGTAGTGCTGAATATTTGCCCACTCACTAAAGCTGCTTCCAGCTTCTCACCTATACTGGTTGAGACTGCAGTGATGAATTAGATCACAAGGATGAAAGAGCTGAAGATGAGAGATACTGAGCTGGGATGCCCATGACCTGACACTCATCCTTAAATGCTCAAATCCAGCTTTTACAGCCTCAGCTGCTTCCCCGAGATGTGGAACTGGATGAAAGGAAAACAGATACAGCCTAAGAAAGCACGTATGACTCTTCCAGTTACGCAGCACATGACCTGGAGTAGACGCGACGCATTTACAAGAATTAGGGATTCTTTTGCCAGAGCGCGTGTAATCACGGGTCCTCTGGGACTCAACATTTCAATGGGATTCTCAAGTAGTAGTCATAGTCAGATATGCCTCATCTGCAGGTGCACTCAACCTCACAGGCAGTTTACACATGTGTCCTGGTTCCGTGTAAAAAGGGGTTCAGGGCAGGACCCACACGGAACAGAACTATGTACTCGCCTCTCCCCCCCGAGAGAGAGACACACACTTTGGAAAAAAAAAAAAAAAAATGAAGTATATTGTTCAACAAGGAACAGAAAACGAAAAAGGGAGGTAAGGAAAATAATATATATAAAGATTAGGGGAATAATACAAAAGATAAAATATACAAAACCCTCAGAAATGGTTCCAGGGTCCCACGGAGTGAAAGGAGAACTTTCCTCTCCGAGCTCCAAGGCAGGAGTGAAACAAGAAACCACTCCCTGCCTCTTATCAGAGTGTGTGGGAAGGGGAGGGAATACAATGGTTTCACCCCCACCCTTTAAACCCAAACCATTCTATGATTCTATGACTGGTCTTCAGGATGGAATCAGGCAATCTTATAGGTGGAATCCTCACCACACCACCAGGAATTATGCCATTATATTAGTATACCAAAATTACTACGTAGTTATAACAAGAAATCAGACAAAAAGTGAGGTGATGCCATTTGCAGCTTCAGTGTATTGATGAAAGCATCTCAACCTCACCAGCACTGCCACACTAACGGAATGGCAACGCACCGGCGGCTGCTTGGGTGAACGGTTCCTCAACGCGAGTGTGTCACGTCCTCACCTGCATTTTCTCCACAGCCAGTCTGATCTCACTGGGATGCCAGGTGTGGCCTGAGGGACATCACCCCATGTTGAGGGCTGTA